TTGAAGAGGTGGTGGAGCTCTAATAGGAAGAGATGGAGTCTAAAGAGGAAGGGGTGGAGTTTACAGATGAAGGGGGTGGATCTTAAACAGGAAGGGGTGAGACAAATTTCTATGGGGGGGGGGGGGGCACACGATTTTAGTCTTGCCTAGGGCAGCACAAAACCAACATACAACACTGGTTAAAAGTCAAAGGTAATTTCAGGGTCAAACGGTCAATGTCAGTGTATTTTAAATTAGAGTTTAAAAAATTGAATTATCACTGGCAGTGTTTTTAGATATGAATAAAAAAGTAAAATGTGCTCAATGTTGTTTCTGGGCCCTGTTGCTGCAATCATCTTCAGGAGCAGGAGAATTTATATTTGGGTTGTTCTATGTGGTGGTATATGAGGGTGGAAGTATACAACTACATTTAAAAAAATATTTTTTTTTTTACTAGTTAGTGATAGTTTTCACTATCAAGAGATAGTTTTCATTAATGAAATACAGTGCCTTGAAGAAGTATTCATACCCCTTGAAATTTTCCACATTTTATCATGCTACAACCAAAAACGTAAATGTATTTTATTGGGATTTTATGTGATAGACCAACACAAAAAAGTGGCACATAATTTTGAAGAGGAAAGAAAATGATAATTGGTTTTCAAAATTTTTTACAAATAAATATCGGAAAAGTGCTGCCTGCATTTGTATTCAGCCCCTTTACTCTGGGATACCCCTAACTAAAATCAAGTGGAACCAATTGCCTTCAAAAGTCACCTAATTAGTAAACAGAGTTCACCTGTGTGTAGTTAAATCTCAGTATAAATACAGCTGTTCTATGAAGCCCTCAGATGTTTGTTAGAGAACATTAGTGAACAAACAGCATCATGGAGGCCAGGGAACACACCAGACAGGTCAGGGATAAAAGTTGTGGAGAGTAGTTTAAAGCGCATGGGTTAGGTTATAAAAAATATATCCTAAGCTTTGAATGTCTCACGGAAGCACTGTTCAATGCAATCATATGAAAATGGAAAGAGTATGGCACAAGCTGTAAACCTACCAAGACATGACCGTCCACCTAAACTGACAGGCTGGGCAAGGAGAGCATTAATCAGAGAAGCAGCCAAGAGGCCCATGGTAACTCTGGAGATGCTGCAGAGATCCACAGCTCAGGTGGGAGAATCTGTACACAGGGTTACTAAAAGTCGTGCACTCCGCAAATCTGGCCTTTATGGAAGAATGGCAAGAAGAAAGCCATTGTTGAAAAGAAAGCCATAAGAAGTCCCGTACGCAGTTTGTGAGAAGCCATGTGGGGGACACAGCAAACATGTGGAAGCGGGTGCTAGGTCAGATGAGACCAAAACTGAACTTTTTGGCCTGAAAAAAAATGCTATGTGTGGCGGAAAACTAACACTGCTCATCACCCTGAACACACCATCCCCACCATGAAACTTGGTGGTGGTAGCATCATGTTGTGGTATGCTTTCAATCAGCAGGACGGGAAGCTGGTCAGAGTTGATGGGAAGATGGATGGAGCCAAATACAGGGCAATCGTAGAAGAAAACCTGTTTAGAGTCTGCAAAAGACTTGAGGCGGAGGTTCACCTTCCAGCAGGACAAATGACCCTAAACATACAGCCAGAGCTACAATGGAATGGTTTAGATCAAAGCATATTCATGTGTTAGAGTGGGCCCAAAATTAAAACCCACTTTGTGTTGGTCACACACACAAAAACCCCCCAAAAAATAAATAAATAATAAATAATCATAAGATATCTTTTACCCATTTACACCAAATGAAAGCCAATTTGTCCTGAGAAAAAAACAAGGTATAATTCATGTTAACCTAAGTGGCTGATATGTATATAATTTTACTAATGCATGTCAAAGTGCAAAACTCTGTTCAGGAATTAGGGTTTGTTTTACCTTCATTGGGAAGGGGCTAAACATAAACCATCTTAGTTTCTAATAGACGTTTATGTTATATTCCAGCCTCTCTGTAAAAAGTGCATTCAATTTTCAATGTTTTGTCAGTAAGTAAAGGTTTGTGAGGTGTTGGCAACCCTAGAGTGAAGGGTGGAATATTCTGTCAGGTGAGGGGAAGCTCTATCAGGTATGCTGTACAGGGTTCCATGATTTCTAATGATTTCTCAAGTACTCTATCTCATTGACACAGCTCTCTATACACAGCAGAGTGGGGGTGGCAGGAGTCACTTCTCTGACACATTTCAGCTATAAATGAAACTTGAACCCAGGCTGTTTTCAGCAAAGCCCATAAGAAATAGTTAGGCAAACATAAAACACATTTTGAAAATGGATCTTTAACCCCTTCACGCCTAAGGGTAAAACAAAATAACACCTAAGCACAATTTTGCAACTTTTGACATGTTAGAAAAACAATACATATCATCACAACTACTTTGTGCTCTCCAGGTGCATTATACCTTGTTTTTTCTCAGGACAAACTGGGCTTTCATTTGGTGATAAATAATAATGGATATCTCCTGATGGTTTTTTTTATTACCAAAGGAAAACTATCCAAAAATAGTACATTTAGCTGTATATTTCTTGCTCCTACCATAAACCTACCACTAAAGAACAACCCAAAATAATTTCTCATGAAAGTAAAAAACCTTCTGTTTGTAGCTCCCCTTAAAATACATACCTCGCACAAAAGCCAAGGCTCTTACAGCTCTCTTGCTTTAATTGGCTCAGATACTGCAGCAGGAGCCACTAGCTCCCATACCTGGCTTGCTCTGGATTCTTTCAGTGAGGGGGGGGGGGTGGAGCTAGGAGCGCCAGCAGGGGACTAGAGAAGAGGAGTATCGGGACTGCTCTGTGCTAAACATTGCACAGAGCAGGTAAGTATGACACGATTGATATTTTTTAATAAAATTAAAAAACAAAGCTTCACAATCACTTTAAACAAACTCAGACATAGGATGGTAGTATATAATAACACAGTTGAAAAAGTGTACTACTGTAACACTTGATCAACAAATAAAAGGAAAGAAGTTTCTTACTTATTTTCTGGCCACTCCGCTCTGGTCACATGATCTGGTTCCTGTGTGTCAGACAGCGCAGCTGCAGGGGAGAGGAGGATGCACTGACAATGGGTGAAATCTATTGGTGACATCACTGTTCCTGACGATCGCAGCAATACCACATGTGTGTATGTTAGTTGTTGTTTGTACCCATAATACGGCCCAGAAACAATAGTGCGCAATTTGCTTTTCTTTTTCTTTTTTCTTTTTTTTTTCTTTGCCACTAACTGGCACTGATACTAATTTAAAAATTGAAAAAAAAAAAAACCCCTGACCAAAACATACTAACTCAAACCTCGATCTAGGTATTTTGGTTTATTTTTTTATTATTATTTTTATTTATTCATTTATTTGTTACACACACTTGTTTTTTGTGGGGGGGGGGGTTCTCTCTGAAAGAACAGAGAGTGATACAATGTATGTCTCTACTCCATTCAGAGAGAGAAAAAAAGGGGAACAGGCTTCACAGTGACTGATCACTCTGTCATAGCCAATCAGAGGCTATCACAGCAATCAGGTGACCTGGAATCGAGAGTTCCGGGTCACGATCATTAGAACAGGACCCGGGGCTCTCAGTGACACCCCCAGTCTTTGTGCTGGGAGTGCTGTGTGCGGCACGCTCCCAGCAGAAAGGCAGGTACGCAAATTGGTGGCCCCCATATAAAAAAGCCCAGTTCTGTGAGGCCGCTAACTTGCATGCAGTTGGCATCAAGGGGTTTTCTCATTATAATAAATGAAAAACAATATGCAAAACCACTATATGGGGGAAATTTACTAAAACTGGTGCACTCCGAATCTGGTTCAGCTATGCATGGTAGCCAATCAACTTCTATGCTTTGACAATAAAACCTGAAAGCTGATTGGTCTCTGTGCAGAGCTGCACTAGATTTTGCACTCTCCAGTTTTAGTAAATAACCCCATTTGTCCCCTTTACTGGAGTTAGATATATTGCTCAGGTTCAAAAGATGACAGTTGATATATCAGTATATTGTTTTACTTCATACTTGTCAGGGACCCCAGAGCTGCCCGCGATCTGCGCATGCGCGGTGTGCCCGGCCGCACTAGCGTGCGAGCATTGGGACCAGGGCACCCGCGATTCCAGCGGCGCATGCGCACTCACGATTGTGGACGCGTGCCTGGCACCCATCAGGGCACAGGGCGCCCTATTTAAAACAGGTCAGGGCTGTGTTTAGTTGCCGTATGGTCTTACCTGTATCCTGAGTTCCCTGTATTGAAGATTGCCTTGTTGCCGACCCTGCTTGACCCTGATTTGTCTGTCTCCTGTTCTGATCCCTGGCTTGTCTGACCATTCTCCTGCTTAACCCTGCACGTTCTGATCTCCTGTTACCGAACCCGACCTGTGACCTGTTTATCCCTCTGCCTGCTGATTTTGTACCACGCCGCCACCACCGTTACCTCCTCGCATCAGGCTCTCACCTGCTACACACCTCCAGCGGTGCTTCTACCTCAGCTGGGTGAACCCAGGGGCCGCGACCTGGTCTCGGCCTGCTCCAAGTCCATCCCCACCATCAGGGGCCCTGGTGAACAGGCAGATTGGGGCTTAGATTCCGCACCCTGGGGGATTCCGGTCTGTGGAGCACTAGAGGCTACCACTGGTAGGAAACCTAACAATACTTCTAGTGATTTATATTTTTTCCTCCTGTCTCCATACACCTTAAGTTTTCATAACCCATTATATTGTAAAGGGGGATAACAATGGTCACCCAATATATGAAAAAACACAAATTCTTTAAAAAATATAGATTTAATGTTTAATATAGTTAATTCCTATTCAGTATTTGAACCACATAAATTAATCTTAGAGAAACCCAAGGAAGAAATAACTTTAGCCATCAATGTAAGCTTTAATCAAAGACATCACCTATTGTCCCATGCTACAGAAGGTAATAATATCTTTCTCAAAGGACGCCAGCTTAATGACAATAAAAGATATCTATTTAAATGATCTAAAATAGGGTTAAGAAGCATGCCCATATATACAAAATGTGTATTCATATAAACATTGTCTTAAAATTCAGTGATACAGATGGAGCATCCCGTGTCTGTCGTGTGTTGTTAAATGGTGTGCCATCCAGCCTGTCCAGTGCATCATTCTTTTTTATCAATGTAGGATCCAGGAACCAGTCCAGAGCGACCATTCCTCTCCACTGTCCACCAGCCATCCTCTCCCTCCTCCAGCACATGTACCACATCTCCAGCACTGATATCCAGCTCATCTGCGCTCTGAAAATAACAACAAAAATGGATAATTCCACCCAAACTTGATGTTTCAGCTTTTAGTAGATGCTGATAGGTCAAACTAAGGTTAGAACGAGAGCTTAAACTAAAGCTTTCTTCTTTAGCACCCCATCACCGACTGAAGCTGAGGCACTCAAGGTGTCTCTTTAACCAAAGGAAAGGCTTGCAAAACGGCTTACTTTAAAAATTTATAAAGTCTACAATTGCATATTGAGGTTGCCATATTTTAGGGCTTGGACTAGATGCTGAGTGCCAAGGTCCATTATCACCTCTAGCCATTAAAGTATGGGTCAAGGCAAAATAAAATAAAATATTTAGTACATTTTCCCATGTTCTACCCTTTCTAATATGCTGCATGTACATGTTAATTCCACAAAAAACAGAACTCAACCCATCTCCACACACCTCTCCATTCTTCTCCAGATACATACAGTTGCAAGAAAAAGTATGTGAACCCCTTGGGATTATGTGGAGTTTTGCATGAATTGGGCATAAAATGTGCTCTGAACGTCATCTAAGTCACAACAATAGAAGAACACAGTCTGCTGAACATAATACTACACAAACATTAGATGTTGCCATGGTTTAATTGCACATAACATGTAAACATTCACAGTGCAGGGAGGAAAAAGTATGTGAGGCCCTAGCTTAATGACTTCTCCCAGAGCTAATTGGAGCCAGGAGTGAGCCAACCTTGACTCCAATCAGTGTGTCGATATTGGATGTGTTGCTGACAGCTGTCCTGCCCTTAAAAACACACACACCTGTTTTGGGTTTACTGGTTTCAAGAAGCACTGTCTGATGTGAACCATGCCTCGCAGAAAAGAGCTCTCAGAAGACCTACGATCAAGAATTGTTGACTTGCATGAAGCTGGAAAGGGTTACAAAAGTATCTCCAAAAGCCTTGATGTTCATGTGTCCATGGTAAGACAGACTGTCTACAAATGGAGAAAGTTTAGCACTGTTGCTACTCTCCCTAGGCGCGGTCGTCCTGTAAAAATGACTGCAAGAGCACAGCGCAGAATGCTGCATGAGGTAAAGAAGAATCCCAGAGTGTCAGCTAAAGACCTACAGAAATCTCTGGCACATGCAAACATTTTTGTTGACACATCTACAATAAGGAAAACATTAAACAAGAATGGAGTACATGGGAGGACACCACGGAGGAAGCCATTGCTGTCCAAAAAGAATATTGTAGCACGTTTGAAGTTTGCAAAAGAGCACCTGGATGTTGCACAGCACTACTGGCAAAATATACTGTGGACAGATGAAACCAAGATTGAGTTGTTTGGGAAGAACACACAACACTATGTGTGGAGAAAAAAAGGCACAGCACACCAACATCAAAACCTCATCCCCACTGTAAAACATGGCGGAGGGAGCATCATGGTTGGGGCTGCTTTGCTGCCTCAGGGCCCGGACGGATTGTTGTCATTGATGGGAAAATGAATTCCAGAGTTTATCAAGACATTTTGCAGGAAAAGGTACGACCATCTGTCTGCCAACTGAAGCTCCGCAGAGGATGAGTGATGCAACAGGACAATGACCCAAAGCATACAAGTAATTCAACAAAACAATGGCTGCAACAGCACAGAATTCGCCTTCTGGAGTGGCCCAGTCAGAGTCCTGACCTCAACCCGATTGAAATGCTGTGGCATGACCTTAAGAGAGCGATTCAGACAGACATCCCAAGAATATTGCTACACTAAAACAGTTTTGTGAAGAGGAGTGGTCCAAAATTACTCCAATCATTGTGCAGGTCTGATCTGCAACTACAGGAAACGTTTGGTTGAGGTTATTGATGCCAAAGGAGGGTCAACCAGTTATTAAGTCCAAAGGTCCACATAGTTTTTCCTCCCTGCACTGTGAATGTTTACATATTATGTGCAATTAAACCATGGCAACATCTAATGTTTGTGTAGTATTATGTTCAGCAGACTGTGTTCTTCTATTGTAGATGACGTTCAGAGCACATTTTATGCCCAATTCATGCAAAACTCCACGTAATCCCAAGGGGTTCACATACTTTTTCTTGCAACTGTACATTGATTTCTTTTCCAGACAGACAATGCTGTGGCCTTCCTCCCAAGAGCGGGGGTCAGCAACCAGAAGATCTCGATCTACCAGTAGATCAGGACCAGGTGACTAGTAGATCACAGTCTGGGCTGGCTGACCCGCCTTCCCAAAGCATCAAACAGAGTGCAATGCAGAAGGACTACTTGTAAAGTTGGATTTGTAGTAGGGAGCAAGAGCTGCATAAGCCGATGCCTTCTCTGTAGTGCTGGATCCTGTCCCATGTGAAGGGATACCAACTGCACTCCACCTCTTATCCTAGCTAGTGGTCTTCAGAGTGGTGCCAGCAGCAGGAAAGAAGAGATCTTCAGGTCAGGGTGAAGCAATACACTAGGCATAGTAATATAGAGTTCCTTCACACTGATGTCCTGCAGTTTCCCCACACTACAGTGTACCTATGAATAAATGAAGTGTGACTCCTGTGCTACCAATAAACAAAAGGGAAATATACAACCGCTGCTGCTAGCATGTGTTTGTGTTCCCACAACTGTAAAAGTAATAAATATGAAATGCTGCGCTGCTGATAGTAACCGTCAATACATAAACAATATTCAAGTGAATTCAATTCCTAATATTATAAATGTACAAACATGCTCAAAATATTCATAAATAAATAATAATATATGCCTTTTCTCCTAATGGAATAAAATGAATTGTGCATAGAATAGTGGCATAAATAAACCATGAATTCCTATTAAGATCTTTGCTTATAAAACAGTTCAGTCAATCATAGTAAAAAAATGAACTGGTGATGGTGAATATCAACTCCTGCTAAGGTAGTGCCCCAACATCAATCATAGTGCCGACTCCAACACCTCAGTAATCCCAGAACTCTCACCTCAATGGAGATATATATATATTCGCCTGTCGATAATAAATCATATTGCTCCTGCAGAAGGCACCTCCAGCACCTTTTGCCCACTAGGGCTCCTAGTTCTTACTATACACACCAAACTGAGCATGTGCAAAGTGTCTCCACACGATATGTCTTATCAGGAGATAAGAGGGGGACACTGGAAGAAGGGGAGGATCAGAGAAGTCAGGATAAAACAGCCTTTTTACACAATGCAGAGGATTAACCCCTTAGGTTCCACAGTGTGTATAACAAGCATGCTTTACTGCATATACAGACTGACTTTACTGTTGTGGGTTTAGTAACACTTTAAGACATGTTTTCACCTCCCCCGTCCCAACCGCACCCACTTTAGCAGTAGTGTCTAGAGGTGTACATGATGCCTCTATCAGGCATCCGGGATACCACTCTTCCAACCCAACCCATGTAAAGTGTTACACGGCCTCAGTCAGCTCCACTGACCATGTCCACTGACACGTTTCACCTCACCCACCGAGGCTTAGTCATAGACTATGCCTCTATGACTAAGCACTGGTGGGCAAGGCAATATGTGTCAGAGGGCATGATCAGGTTAGTTGCACTGGCTGAGGCTATATAACACTTGTAGAACATGGGTTAGGTTCCAAGAGCGGCATCCCAGATGCTTGATAGAGATACCTCTGGCTATTGGGTTGTACTCAGCTTGAGCACTAATTGATGGTTCAGCTTTCCTCAGGTTTTTCCTAAGCTCAGTGTTATTGTTTGCTTCTCCATGCTGTTGGAAAGTGTCCCTGGCAACATTGTAAGAAGGTCCAATAATCTGAGTTATGAATGATATGTCTGCTTGCCAACCACTAGGTTTATTGCCAGTGGTGCATGCTGAGGAGGTATAAAGATTTGGGAATGACCATGAAAATCTCTCTTTCCTCCCAGACTTTGCCTGTGACTGTTGCTGTGTGTTCTTGTACTTCCAGGCCTGCTTTCTGGGAAAGGCTACAGAAGGGCCCAATCATGGGACCTCGGGCCTAAAGCTGGAGGAAGTGCAGGAAGGTAATTACCTGGATTGGAGCACCAAGGGTGAAACTTTATCAGATGAAGAGTGTCCAGAAGAACTGGGACCAAGCTGTAAACATTGCAAGTTCTGGTGGCTCATTCAAACTGTAAATATGCTGCATAGAACCTGCTTTACAGTCTTAATATTACTGAGTGCCAGTCCATTTTTTGTATTGACTGTTAGTAGTGATACAGAGTGTTAGTAGTGATACAGAAAATGCATTCTGTTATTTTCGGGTGTCATCTGCCCAAACCTCTCTCTCTGAGTTTATTGGTCCTATGATAAACTATAAAATTTTCTAAAATGACAGGCACCCAATTTTCTCCACCTTACAAAGAGTCAACAATGCTGCCCTGAGATGAAATGCTAGCCCATCTAGCAATCTGGGACCCCTAACCACCTTTAGGGGATAAAGCGGTACTCCACATAGAACAGATAAAGCAGATAAAAGAGGGAAGAAACAAAGATTTGCAGAACTGACAGGAAAACCATACCAAAGTTTGAATATTAAATGGGAAACACACCAAACTTAACTAATGCGTTTAGCTACACCCCCAGGGGTGGACTCACAACTCATGGGACCTCCGGGCAATAGGGGATCATGGGGCCCCTGCATCCTTGCCCACACTCAAAAAAAGCCTATAAAAAGGTACCAGGGGTACTTCATGGGGCCCCCTACTGACCCCGGGCCCTTGGGCAGTGCCCGAGTTCTCGAATGGTCAGTCCGCCCCTGTACACCCCTAAGCTAATGTGATACAGAGAACCCGGACAAGTCCTTAGTGTATAGGGCTCCTTACCTGGGCAGCATAATCGTACAGCACAGTAAATTCTTGGCATCCTGTGTCCAAATCATAAGAATCTCTTCTTGGAACTATAGGAATACTTGCATACTCTGAATCTCCAGTCCCTAAAAACGGCGGCAAACAAATAAATATTGTCAAAAGCTTTGCTAGTGTTCTACGAAGTCTGTGGAGAATGTACTGACCTGTTGGTTGACTGTTGAGTTCTGCTAAGTTTTTAACACTTCCACTACAACCATGCAGCAGATTGGAAATCCTAAAACAGTGAAGGAAAGAAAAGACAATGTAAGTTTACTTCATACATCTGCAAAAGTAAAGGGCACTAAGGTTTGGTTCACACTAGCCCACGCTCTGAAAAGCGATCTGTGGTGTGCTGCCTCCCGAAGGTCTGTTTTTTTTTTTTTTTGGCTGAACGGTAATTTAGTACTGCACAGTACTAATGAGTTGGACACAGGGCCTGCACAGTCTTAACAGGAACATATGGCTGTCTAAAAACAAGGTACGTTAAACGATAAAATGTACTGATACAAAGGTTTATCTTTAATACGCAATTTAAGATCAGCCTGTAATAACACAATACATCTGCCTCTAAATTTATGGAGGGTGAGGGGTAGAGCAGAAAGGTATCTTCTTCTTTCATTATTTGATCACATTGTTATATGTTATATATGAGAACGATTAAATACTGCTGTAATATAAAAGCATATTGCACGTGGGTGTACTGGGAGCATGTGTCATCGCTGCATTCGGCCTCGTTAACATGGGCGGGCTAGGGGTTGTACAGACAGTTTTACTGACTGCTGAGCCACAAGTTAAAGTATAACTAAAGGCAAAACTTTTCTTTTGTTTAGGAAAGATTGGAGAGGGATTACAACACCACAGGGCTGTCTTAATACATCATGGGATCCTGGGCAACGTAATGCAGTGGGGCCCCTACTAGCCTGCCCCAATTTATGCACCTACTCTCAAGAATTAAAGTATAAACAGTTAATAGAATTGCCCTCCAGAGGATTTACCTCCCTTCCTGACCAGGCCATTTTTTGCGTTACGGTGCTGCGTTACTTTAACTGACAATTGCGCGGTCATGCTACGCTGCACCCAGATGAAATTTACTTCCTTTTTTCCTACAAATTGAGCTTACTTTTGGTGGTATTTGACCGCCTGTGCGTACTTAATTTTTTATGCTATAAAAAAACAAAAGACCAACAATTTTGAGAAAAAGAAACAATATTTTTGACTTTTTGCTATTAAACATGTCCTGTAATAAAATTTTAAAAATCAAAGTTCTTCATAAATTTAGGGCAAAATGTATTCTGTTACATGTCTTTGCTAAAAAAAAAATCCCGATATGTGTAAATTAATTGGTTTATGTGAACGTCTACATATGGCAGTATAGATACTGGGATTTTTCGGGTTTTTTCCTACTAGTAATGGTGGTGTTCAGTGACTTTTAGTGGCACTGCAGTGGGCATTCTGACACTGGGGGGGGGAACTAACTTGGTGTCACTGACATCCCTAGTGACACCAATACAATGATCAGTGCTAAAAAAACAGCACTGACACTGTACTAATGGCACTGAGCTGGAAGGGGTTAATGTGAGGGACGATCAAAGGGTTAACTGTGTGTAGGGAGTGTTTTACTAGGGGGCATGGGAGGTGTACTTCACTGTAAGCATACTGATCGGGATGGCTGTGCTGTGCACAGCCACCCGAGAAGTTTGCCCGAGCTGACAGGGAGGAAGACTGTTTGTAAACAAAACAGTCGTCCTCCCCATTGGTGATTGTCAGTAATTGTCACCAGCGGGTAATCAGTGGCCGGGACCCGGTGGTTGACATTCGCGGCCGCGCGCGACCCTACCTGGAAATGCAAAATCACGTATACATATGTGATTTTGCGCACCCGTGCCGCCGTGTAGCATTATTTCTGCTATACGGCGGTGGGTAAGCAGTTAAACATATATTTTTAACCCCTTCAGGAGTTATAACTCTCCTTTACTCTATCCAAAATGAAAAAAAAAAAGTTTTGCCTTTAGTTATACTTTAACATGGCCAGCAGCCATGTTAGTACACATTGTCATGATTGCAGTGCTGCAAAATTCATACAACAGGAAATGTTTGGTGGGCAGTTCTGCCATCAAACCCCCAAGTAAATGGGGCAGGACTGCAACTGTGTGTGATGCATGCAGTTGCAGCGCAGTGTTCTAGGCATTCAGTGGTTAAAGTGGTTATAAAGGCTGTTTTTTCTAAATTTCTTAAAATGCCAAACATGTTATACTTACCTGCTCTGTGCAATGAAATTGCACTGAGCGGCCCAAAATCTCCTTTTCTGGGGTGCCCTGCTGGCACTCTGTGCTCCTCCTCTTCCATGTCTGCCCCCATAGCGAGCCACTTGAGAGAGCAGATGTGCAAGCTCACTCCCAAGCTGGGCTGTGTGCGACCATAGACAAACACAGTGCAGCTTAGCCCCAACCTCCCCCCCCTCTCTCTGCCCGCAGGAGCCGCTACTGCTTCTCTGTCCTGTGAATGCAGGAAGAGAGGAGAGGGCTGCTACAGACGGGCATAGCGTTGGATCAACTGAGGACTCAGGTATTAGTGCATTAGTTTTCTTTTTTAGGCTTTCTTTCTTTCTTCTATTTTCACCTGGTGATTCAGCCAGCAAGTCTGTTGTTTTTAAAAAGAACAAGCTCTTTTGCAGATGTATCAATTACAGTGATGAGACAAACCATTTACTACTCTCAGGGTAGCTTACAGTGATCAGCTTTTATGTATTAAATATTTTATATTTGTGTAAAACCTTTATCCCAAAAGGAAAAAAAACTGGTACTGTAACTACTTATAAAGTATTAACTGGAATTTGGCTTCAATTTGTTAGTGTATTGAAATCTGCTAGTACATTCAAACACTCCCCTTCCCCAAGACTGACAGATTGCCCCCTGTACTCCTTCATCCAGAGTGGAGGCACTCTAATACAGAGGTGTGTTACTGGCCAGATCACCAGGTGCAAACAGAGGGGAGAAAATACCCCTGTCAGTGTCAAATGGTGTGTCTCAACCCTCTAACTGTAAGAGAGCTTTTCTGTTAAAAAACACAACAGACCAGGGGCGGACTGACAACTCATGGGGCCCCTGGGCAATAGGGGATCATGGGGCCCCTGTGTCCTTGCCCAAACTCAAAAAAGCCTATGAAAAAGGTACCAGGGGCATCTCATGGGGCCCCCTACTGACCCCGGGCCCTCGGGCAGTGCCCGAGTTTCCAAATGGTCAGTCCGCCCCTGCAACAGACTTACTGGTTGGATTACCAGATTAAAATACAAGAAAGAAAACCTAAAAAGAAAAACTGATGCAGCCACCACATCTAATGATTGGTAAGCTGCAATAAATGACATTATTTTTATTTGGGGCTTATTACTGCTTTAATGGAGGGAATGTAGATAAAAAAATGTTATGACTTCAGAACCACTTTAACACAGGCTGTGAGGAGGTGAAATATCAGCAGCTGTCTGTCAAATGCCTCTGAAAGTGATCCACCACAGATCACTTTTCAGAAGGACGTCAAACACTTGCAGGTCATGTAAACGAGCCCTAACAGCTTATACATTAGAAATGTGAAGCCTCCGCTCCCCATCACTCACCTTTTTATCATTTTACTGCCACCTGGTGTACTTAATCCATTACTGCTCCCTGGAGTCAGTCCATTAGTATAGCTCTCATACAGGACAGGCTCTGGAACAGGAAGGAAGAGATACAGTATATACACAGTCTGCATCAGCCTGTACAGAAATTCATCCCCAATTACCAATCACAGGACAGACCTAAAACGGTTGTATTTCTCTATACATGGCCAGTTGATGGCAACTGCATACCTGGTGGGATACGTCCTATGGTCTTCTCTTGAACAAAGTCATTAATTTCTGTATCCACATCACACTGCTCCAGATTCTGCCTGACAATCTCCAGCATCTAGCATGAGGGGGCAGACACCAGTTATAAGTATTACAATAATAACTATTCAATGGTGGTTGATTACTAAAACCAGAGAGTGCAAAATCTAGTGCAACTCGGCATAGAAACCAATCAGCTTCCAGGTTTTAGGCTGGTCATACATTATACAATTTTCTTGGGATTTAGATTTACCAAAAACCATATAATAGGAGGTCAAACCCAAACAACACTTTCAGTTGTATCCAATTAGGCAGGTCCTTGCACTGCACAGTTGAAGGTAAATCTAAAGGAAATTGGGCAGAAATTGGACAGAAAATTGTATAGTGTATGGCCAGCCTTATTGTCAAAACTTAATTGCACAAGCTAACATTAAAAGCTGATAGGCTACCACACACAGCTGCAGCAGATTCCGAGTGCTCCAACTTGAGTAAATATCTCCCAAGGTTTCTTAAATGTTGGCAAACTGAATTTCTTACCCAACTCCTACATCTACTTACCAATCCTATGAATTTTCACATCACAGTTCCTCGCTCTGCCCAGCACCCCTCACCCCTAATTAGAGTCTCCTTCCTCCAGCTGCATTTTCTAAAATATTAAGTAACAGTGAGACCAATTTAGTGAGAAACTAATGCAGGCCATAGATGGGTCGAAAATTGGCCGATTTTCGCACCGTTTTAGTGGGTTAATTGGTCAGCCGTTTTTCGGGGTTTTGGCACATATTTTTTATCGGTAAAGTTGTAAAAAAAATCAGCCGATTTTGCCGATCAGCCGATTTTCCTGGCAATGATGGGCAAATCGGCCGATCGTTTTACAGATAAAAAATCTGTGCATGACCCGTGACCTGCAAGAAGAAGAAAAAGAATAAGAAGAAGAAAAAGAAGAGGAAGAAGAAGAAAAAGAAGAAGAAGAAGAAAAAGAAGAAGAAAAAGAAGAATTCCAGTCCGCCATTATATTTTATATGAAAAGTCTTGCGGTTGCAACAATGTATCCATTTGTATCCGAATAAAAAAACCATCCGAAATGGATACATTGTTGCATTCACAAGACTTTTTCATGTCAAATACAATAGCGGAGCTCTCTGCAAGGGACAGAAGTAATTAAATGCCAGCCGTAGACGGGACGAAAATCGGCCGATTTTTTTTTTACCATTGGTGGTAATGTCGGCCTATTGAACTACCATTTTTTTTTTTTTTTTTTTTTTAAAACAGCCGGTTTTCGACCCGTCTATGGCCTGCATAAGTGTCTTCTCTTTACATGTCAAAAAGTGATATATACTGCCTTACACAAACAGCGTGTCTTCTATGCAATAAAATATAAATAATTACTCAACCATTTAGTGTGTCAACAAAAATAAAAATAATACAAAAAATGGTAGCTGCCCCTTGGAGTGGAAAATCACTTGTGACCATATAAGAAAATTCTGAGGCAGAATTGCATCCAGCCACATCCGGGTCCGGTGACGCCACTTCCACTTCTGGTTTATGGAACACACGCCGACTTCCCTGTTGAGCAGGGCTAGCATCCTGAGCTGAGTGTTTTAGTGCCGAGGATTGGGCACCAACTAATGTGAGTGCAGATTTGGTTGATTTTATTAAATTTTCTTTAATAAACCTACTATACTTTGAGACATTTCTCCTTCTGATTCTTGCTAATCTTGGCTATGGAGTAAATTGGGAGACCATTGAGAAGATATACACTGATGTTTCAAACTATTGGGGACACAAAGCGCATTAAACCTTCTTTTAATTAAGAGGTCATGGATGATTGGTGAGCGCATATATTGTTTTACCCTAGGTTCACACCTGAGCATTTTCTGCAGTGTTTTGCCTTTTGCGGAAATGCAGCACAGTCCATTTAATATGATTTTCTATGGGACATGACATGTTCACATCTCCGCGTTTTCACCTGGTGCATTTTTTTGGAAAGGGTCAGGAACTTTTTTGAATGCAAAACATTGCGCTTTTGGTTCTATAGACTGCAATGGAATTGCTGCAGAAAAGCATTGTATTGCATTTTTGATGCTTTTTGTGTTTTAAATCTGCCTAGCAACAACAAAAATGTAAAAAAAATGTAAAAAAAAACCTGCATAAAAAATGCAGGTGCAAAAACGCAAAACGCAATCCAGAAACGGCTCTAACGCAACCTGCATAGGTATGAACCTAGCCTTATGGTGGTGGGACACAAAGGATCTGCATGAAGAAATTTATTTCGCGCCAGAAGATTATGCACCATTGTTTTTGATCTATAACCTGGTGTGGGACTTTTGTTTTTTGTTTTTGATCTTGAATTTGGACTCAATAATTTATATCACTTTTAGGTTTTTACATGTTTCTATCACAGTTGGAATATTGTTCACCTAATATGTATGTTTAGCGCCATACCTTACTTTATTATATGGTCACAACAGTGAGACCCGCTTGTATTGTCTGCCATATATAAGCCAGCTTGGGAACTTTCCACTGGGATTTCAAATATCCCAAATACAGCCACTGGATGGTGAACAGCGTATACCTCCAACTAGAACATCAGTGCCTTACCAGTACATAGGTGTTGATGATGACATATAGTACAAGGCATTATAGGAAGATTATATAAGAACCAAGTAATTAGAATACTAAAGACTTTGCTTAGAAATTATTTGGATTTGTACCTTCATTTAGCTTTATATACCTTCAGTCTGACAGTTCAGCTTGAGTGTCACATTTAGAGTTCCCCTAAAGTCGGACATTTGTTTCCCTTCACCTGTCTGACCTCACACATTGTCTTACTACTGCTGAAGGTGTAAACCAAGTCCAGCTACACAGCCCGGTAATCAATTACATTCCCGTAAAGCCATATTCACATTTTATACATTGTAGTAACGTTACCATCCAATGAAAGGTAAGCTGCAATATACAGTATTACATTTTTGGTTTGGGTTTATTACTGCTTTAAGAGCATTCATTGACGCACTGCAATAGCCAGAATAAACATGAATGGGCATTCTAGAAAGCTTTTACAGAGTGTGCTCCATCGAAATGTTGACTGCTTAGCTGTCATCCTGATCCAAGGACTTGCTGCTTTATTCCGACTTGTGCCAAATCAATGACTTAAGCCGGCCATACATGCATAGATTTCTGGCTAAATGAAAGGAATTGAACAGATTCCATCATCTACACTAAACAGCATAGATGGGTGAATCTCACCCGTCAGCTACTGTATTCTGACAACAGGCGCCACTGGTTGTCTGAATGCCTAAACAGTGACTGCATCTTGATTGGGTGCCAACAATTTTTCTACCCAGCAACTTCTATTTTTCAAAGGATGTGAATGGTGCTGACTGGGCCACCCACTGATCAAATTGTTCATTCACCATATGGTCAACTGTAGACAAAACAGAAATCAGAGACAGCCAGGCAAATAGCAATTTTAGAGGAAGCCATTTCAGCAATGGATATCTCTGTACAGGTTGCCCTTAACGGAGTCTCTGTTATTTGATACTGTTAAGCACACTGAAGCTACGTTCACACTAGCTTTGTCAGCAGGCATCAGACAGGCATTTGAGAAGTGTTTTTAACACTTCTCCAATGCCTATAAAAATTCTGCACACGGCAGCACACAGTGCTGTTCACACAGAAGCATTAGCGTAGTGTCGCATTACATCGCGGCAAAACTGAGACCTCATGTTAGTCAGGAGGAGTTGAAGCCTCCCATTCAAGTCTAGGGTACCACTCTGTCAGGCGTTTGTGGTGCGGCTGCAAGGCGGTTGCGGAGCGTTAATACCATTTAACTTCATTATAGGAGTTTGTGGTGCGGTTTTAACACTTGGCAAACACCTATCAACCGCCTCAAAACCGAGCATAGGGCGTTTTGGGAGCGTTTGAGGAGCGTTAAAACCGCTTCCCAAACGCCTGTCTAACACCTGTCAAATGCCATAAGGGCGTTTGCAAGAGTTAGAAAAAAAGTCAAGTGTGAACAAACCCTTAGGAGTGTGTAAAAGTGGCAGTAAAGCCCCTCTTGTTTACTTGTACCTACAGGTAAGCCTATGATAAGGTTTACCTGTAGGTACAGTAAATACCTCCTAAACGTGCACCATTTAGGAGATATTTACAATGGTATCAGCCGGTGATGTCACTGGTGCATGCACACTGGGCTCTCAATGGACATGCCGTTCATTGAGAGAGCCATGCCTCGGGCGTGACTCCTGCGTGCATATCCGTTGTTGACGTTATTATGGCTTGGCCAACAAAGCAGCCGAAGCCCGCATACCCGGAAGGAAGACTGGGTGAAGATGGAAGCACTGCAGGGCTTTGTTCTAAGGCAAGTCTTTCATAATGTACTAGAATTCATCACATTATGCTACTATCCTGCAGGGGACCTTCTTTGGAGGGTTTTGTTTCTGTTTACTACCACTGTAAGCTGAGATAAAGTAAAAAAAAAGCCAAATGAGAAAATAAATATAAACGTAAGTCAGCCTAAATAATGTAACAATATATAATAAATACATATTATGATGTAGTAATATGTAATGAATAAATATAATAATGTAAGACTCAATATTACTAACAACAACTTACAAAACCATCCATAACTCTGCCCCCAGCTACATCACCAACCTGGTCTCAAAATATCAGCCAAACCACTCTCTTCAATCCTCCCAAGACCTTCTGCTCTCTAGTTCCCGTGTCACCTCCACCCATGTTTGCTTCCAGGACTTTTGCCAAGCTTCTCCCATCCTATGGAACTCACTACCCTAATATGTCCGGCTAGCTCCTAATCTATCCACCTTTAGATGATCCCTGAAAACCTCTCTCTTTAAAGAAGCCTATCCTGCTTCTAACTAGTAAACCGCCTTTTACTTCCTCCATCAGCTCATCCCCCACAGCTATTACCTTTTGTATCACTTAACCTCTCCTCCTAGATTGTAAGCTCTCACGAGCAGGGTCCTCTGTTTCCTCTTGTTCCAAATTGTATTGTAACTGTAACATCTACTGTATGTTCATTTTGTAAACCGTTGTCGCTATATAAATCTTGTATAATAATATTCAGATATAAATTAGATACTGTATATTTTCAGTAAACAAAAACAGGACAATGAGTGCAGACATTGCCTTATAAACAGAAAAAAAAACCTGCCAGTTCAATTGTTCTATCACACTTTGAAATTAATCTGTAGCAATTTCTACCCATATAAATAGCCACACTACAAGAACTGAAAAACATAGGAATAGCAAAGTTTCTACCCCCCCTTCTGGTTACAATTGGTAATGCAGCATGCTTTTTTGATCATACTTTCACCACTGGTAACAGAGAATCTTTACAAAACAATTCTGTTAGATTATCGATTATTACAAGATTGTCTGTAGACACTATGGTATATGGTATGTGTTACCTCGTCATCCTTTACACACTGCATGGAAAACTGATTTGTGTGAACCCAGAGAGAATTGCGCAGTATACTGATTCTATCTCTCTCTTGTTGTTCAAATGCCTAAAACAGAAAAGAAAAACACATTCTATTTACAAACCTAATCAAAGGACACAATCCAAGATTTTAGAGAAAGTTTCATGTCCCATTACCTCACAAGTGCTTGTATGCTCGGTCTCCCATTCAATGCGGGCTTTGTCCAGTAGAGTAATGTTGTTCTTATACAGCTGATCTAGAACAGAATATTCGCAGTATTTCATTAGGTTTACTGTAACCAAAAACTTGTGTTTTCACATTCTAAAATAATGAGTCCACAGCGAATGGACTCTGTAGATCTGGATTCATGTTATGTTTTAATCAATGTAATAGGAGCCTGTTAAGTAGCCATGGCTGGATTTCCATCACTGGAGAATGTATTTATACAAAACCCCTGTAATAGGATCATCCCTTATAACAGAAGATTTTCTTCTGTTTTGTCCCTAACCTGGCTTCTGAGCAACATTTAAAGTACATTGGAGAATTAAATTTAAATGGAGTTCAATATCACATGTATTTAAAGGGTAACTCCACTTCCATATGGAAAAAATAATAAATAAAAAAAACAAAAATATACCGGTATATAGCATATACAAGAGCGACACAAATCATATTGACATTAAATGTTTTTAAAAAATTACCTTTCCTTTTTAATCTGAAGCAATGTAATATGTAAAATGCAATGCAATATGGCAGCCTGGAGGCATTCTGTACACAGATGTTGTACAGAACACCCCCCGGACATGTCATTTCCTGCTTGTGTGATTGGCTTACTGATTTTCCCAGAAATCTACACTAAGATACAAGTCAGATTTTGGGCATCCCCTCCAACAAACATGTCATTTTTGGTGAGATACTCCTAAAGGGAAATCAAGGGATGCAGGCTTTGTCACTTTTCTAACTAGAGCCCTGCAGGTGCAGCAGCTGATTGATAATTATAAAGTCACTCCCATACAGATTCACTCTGCACATGGACACAGACAACAGCAATTTATGAAAATAACAAAAAGTAGGAATCTGCAATGAAGTTTTTTAAGACCCTTGCAATGTACATTGATCACCCAGAGGGGATTTTCTTTTTCTCAATAAAAGTGGAGTTACTCCTTAACCACGTCCCATCCAGGCCATGTATATAAACTGCCGGATGGGAGCAGTGCAGGGGCGGGTTGTTGTTCATAAATGACAACCCACCATTTTGAACTATGCATGCTCCCTGGGAGCGCGTGCCACCATGATCTGGTGCCCTCTGTGTGAGGTCCCGATCATGTGATCACTGATTGGCCAATCAGTGATCACATGAATAGTAGTTCTGACTTCATTGCTTACTACATGTGAAATCTGTGAATGATCACAGAGATCACATGGTACAAGGCTATTCATAACAGCCTTGTACCATGTGACAAGCTGTAACCAATCACAGCTCACACAGTATCTCTCAATGGCTGCAAGAATTGCAGCCAGAGAGAAGGAGAAATGATTGCTTTTACAGCCTTTATGGGTGTAAAAGCAATCAGTGTAAAAAAAAAAAAAAAAAAAAATCTTCATCACCCCCCACAAGTAGACATTGTACTGCTAGGGTGACAGTATGTTAAAAAATAAATAAATAACTAATATAAAAAAAAATAAAATAAAAACGTAAAAAAAAGTTTTTGGAAAAATTATAATTTTTGGTTATAAACTAATTTGGGTTATTTTTTTACCAAAAAGATAACTGAATACATTTTGGCCAAGATTTATGAAGAAAGATTATTTGTTTGCAAAATTTTATAACAAAAACACGTTTTTTAAAACATTTTTGGACTTTTTCATTTATATAGCAAAAAAAAATAGAAATCCCATTGGTGAATAAATACAGTTAAATAAAGTTTTATCTGTCTCAAAAAAATGCAAAAAATTCATATGGGTAAGGGGTTGCATGACCGCGTAATTGTCATTCAAAGTGTGACAGCGCTGAAAGCTGAAAATTGGCCTGGACAGGAAGGGGGTAAAAGTGTCTGCACATAACGTGGTTAAGCATCATACAGGATGCAATCTCGGCAAACTCATTGGCACACAATGGCACTTATGAAGCAGTGGAAGGGGGCAGCTCAATAGCTGGTCATACACAGATTGAAATTTGACTAATTCCTGTTGAACTGGCTGAAATTCATTCCATGGGTGGCCCTGTCAGCCAACCACTTGGCTTGAACAAAGTTGATTTTTCAATCAACTGTTGTTGAAGAAGCTGTGCAGAAAATTCTCAGCTGAACAGAGACTGCCACGGGTGCTGTATATCCAATAGCCAGCACTGCAAATGTATCTATCCGCATCGTTTAGGAAAAGAGAAATCCTAAAATGGAACTAACCCTAACTGAACCCTAACTAAAAAACCTGTAAGCAGGCAGCTTTTTATTGGACAAAGCTTTATAAAATGGGCACCAATATTCAAATGTGTTTAGAGTAGCATGATTCCTAAATACAGTACTGGTGCTGTGCTGCAGACAGTCTTTTTTTGTCCATTTGTTTTTTTTAATACAGCAAAGAAATGCAAAGTATCACACAACAAAATAGTTTAATAAACAAATATAGAAAAACAACAGAAAGAAGAACTAGGCAAGGTAAAGAGCATGTAATGTCCAGAGTTCCAGAACCACAGAGAGTGGAGAACCAATTCTAGAAAGTGAACCACAACTAAAGAGATAGTATGGCAATTGAATGCTAGATTTGTATCTCATAACTAAGTTAAAGTATCACAAAGAAGTAATGAATAAAGCACTACTGTGCAATATGATGGAGCACAAGAGTCTGAGAATGGGATGAAATTATTATCTTGTGTCAAAGGAAAAAAAACTAAGTTGGTCAATAAGTGAATAAAACTGCTCAAAGAAACTATCTCAACTCCAGGCATTACGATATGAGCATTTCTGATGCGAGCACAGATGTCACTGTTGTGATATTCTGCCATGTTTGCTCCTATTTTGCACAATGTAAGTATGTGATGAACACTTTTGTAGACAGCATTGTAGTATATTTGACAGGTGCTCCCAATAGGCATAGTGGTGGTCCCAGGGGCACCTGAATGGCCAAAATCCCGACAAGCAAGTCTTCAGTTCTTAAAGAAGTCATGTTCAGTATATATATTACATGTATTTAGTACATCATTAGCAGTTAAGGGCTCATGTACACGGGGCATTTGGAAAACTCTTCTAAACAATGGAAACTGACTGCTGGAAAACGTAGGTTAAAAAACATCAGTTTAGCCATGTTTGCATACAACGTTTATGTGCGTTTAGAAGCGTTTGCGTTTAGAAGCGTTTTTAAAAGATAACCTCAGGAGACCTTCCCAAATGCCCAGAATGCACTGAAAATAGTAAATAATTAACTATTTCAGACATTTTGAGAGAAATAGAGAGAGCAGAAGCAGAGAGAGAAGTATGAGTTGAGATGACCTGTCTTTTCTGGTTGTATTCACTATGGATCCCATCATGAGCATAATGCAGCACGTTTCTACCATTATTTCCTTCACGCGAAAGTGTACCGGGTCCATTTGAATACATGGAAAACACTTTTCATGCATTTCTGATGATGAAAAAAGGTTCTGGACAGCATCTGGATATGGGACAGTTAAAAAACGCTTCTAAATGCAAACGCTTATAAACGCGGTTAACCGCACTTACAAGCATTTATACGAATTTACAAGCATTTGGCGTTTGAAACGCTGGTAAAATATACTCCTGAATGCAAGTTTGGCAGGTTCAAAAAAACGACTGTAAACTCAACTGCCTGTAAAAGACTGTAAATGACTATGTGTACATGGACACATAGGAAAACATAAAGGAGAGTTCAGGCGCTGCTGAAAAAAATGCTGAACAGCTCCTAAACGTCAGTTTAGTAGCTGCAGTGTACATGAGCCCTAAGAGCAATAAATGCTGGAAACAGACAGTCAATTCTAGCTATCCAAAGATCTCATAAAAATTGTTCTGGTAATTTGTTTGTGTTTTATTCCTTAGGCATGTCTTCAGTGAAATCTAAATGATAATATATTACAACTTTTTGATTGGTTACCATGAGCATTTTATTTGAACTCAGATTTCTGTAAATTTAATTATTTCTTTTTACATTTCCAAAGTGAAAATCAGTGGTGAGCTGAACTCTAACACATTATTATGTAACATTGTGGGCCACGGTCAGTTCACAGAAGCATTATTAAATGCCATAAGCTCACTAGGGCAAAGGTTTATCCCTACATTTCTGTATTGCAAAGACTACATTTGTGCTACTTTCTGCCCTATCTGAAATGAAATATCTCTGGAACTATACAGAAGATTTAACAAAAATACGGTAAAAGAAGAAAAACCAAATTCTTATGATGAACAAATACAGTCTTTAGTACAGGAACAATGGAATAGGACTTCTCAGAACATGGCCTATCTACCTATTCCAAATCTTGGAGCTTGAATCTGAAGAAAAGCAAGTTTTAATGCCCTCTAGTGGCAGAAGAAAAAAATAGCGTTTTTTTGTATATTTTTTTAGCAATATTTTTGTATTTATTTATTTGTAATGTATAACTGCTTAAAAGCTGCAAAAATAAACTTTAATTTTTGCACATTACCAGCTGATGATTACACAAATAAGATAGGTAAGTACAGTTTTTCACAAGTATAGTAGATCTAAACTCTACGATGTTTTAGTTCACATTAGGGTTGCCACCTCATCCCTTTAAAACTGAACAAATATTAATTACACAGGTTCTGAGGCTAATTCAATGCAGATAGGGCACTAAGTGAGGCACTAATTATCACCTTAATCAGCCACAGAACCTGTGTAAATAATATGTGTTTGGGTTTAAAGGGATAAGGTGGCAAGCTCAGTTCACATGTGTCAAACACAAGGCCCATGGGCCAAATCTGGCTCACCAGGTCATTTCATGTTGCCTCCCTGTCTCTGTCCCCACCTTGTCTCAGCAGTTTGGCAGCAGAGAGGACAGAACGTCATCATCATATCCTGCGCTTCTCCATGCTGCCGTGGAGAGGAGGGCAGAACTCTTCCTATAGATCCTGCGCTTCTTTGTGCAGCCCCCCCCCCCTTATTTCCTCCTCCCTTGGTCTCAGGATTCTTCCAGACCCTGCACTTTCTGTTTCCCAGCTCTGCCCCCAACAACAGCACATGGTTAGTGGCAGGGGTGGACTGACAACTCAGGGGGCCCCCGGGCAATAG